ATTGCAGTGTGGCACCCAAGACAAAATAGAGTACTTTAATAAGATCTGCCATATCTCTTCTCTCCTTTTATTTATTTTTGAGACAGGGTCTCACTCTGTCACCCAGACTGGAGAGCAGTGGTGTGATCTCGGTTCACTGCCACCTCCCCCTCTTAGGCCCAAGTGATCCTCCCACCTCAGTCTCCCAAGTAACTGGGATTAGAAGTGCGCACCACCACACACTGCTAATTTTTGTATTTTTTGTAGAGACAGGATTTTGCCATGTTGCCCAGGCTGGTCTCAAACTCCTGAGCTCACATGATCCACATGCCTCAGCCTCCCGAAGTACTGGAATTACAGGTGTGAGTCACCACACCCGGCCCATTGAGTCTCTCCTTTTAAATAGGACACTTCTATTTTTTCAACCACAGGTTGCATTCACCTTTAAAATGGCTGTATCATCCAGGTGACTGGTATTGATCTTATTCTCAGGCAAGGCCTATAATCTGTTTTTGTACATATATTTCAGACAGAGGAAAAGGGGGTACATGCAGCAGGGAATCTGAACTACCCAGAAGTCCTAGTATACTTCCAGTTGCATCTTACTGGCCAGAAATGAACCATATTTCCATCCCCAGCTACAAGAAAATCTAGGAAGATAAATAGCCAGTTGGTCACATTGATACTCCAAATAAATCAGGGTTTTGTTATTGAGTCAACAAGAGCGAATAGACACTAAATAGACACAAAGCAGTTTCTGCTGTAATTTATTCAGGTGAGAGCGTTTTCTTCTGTTTTGCTAATTTTGTTTTGGAGAATGGTAGTTTCTTTTTTTCAGTATTTGTTGAGACTGATAATTTTTCTTTTTTAATGTGAAATTTGGGTGAATCTCATTAACATACTTTTTCTAATGTTATAACATTCTTAATCATGATTTTTTGCCTTGTTTTAATCCACTGCTAGGCTTTGTTTGGTAATATTTTATGAGAATTTTTGCATCTATATGCATAAATGAGAGAGGCTTAACATGTTTATTTTTCTTGTCTAAACCATCCATCTAGTTTGACTTTCAAAGTTATACTATCTTCATAAAATTGGTTGGGAAACTCTTTCTTTTCTCCTATTCTCTGGAACAGTTTACATGTAGTAGAGATTGTCTCTTCCTCTCCTGGGATGCCATCTGGGCCCTAAGTGTTGTCTATATGCTTGTGTGCATGTGATACTTGTATGTAGATATATTACTAAGGATTTTATTTCTTTTGTCATAGATCTGTTCAGGTTACCTAATTCTTCTTAAGATCATTTTGATAATTTATGTATTTTTAGGGTATCTTCCATTTAGTCTAATTGTTCATTTAATTGTTTATAGAATTCCTTTAAGTTTTTCATTTCTTATACCAATAACTTTAATCTCTTATATAGATATGTCCCATTTCATTTTAACGTATTTTTAATGCCTTTTCTCTTAATGTTGTCATTATCTCTTTTATCAGTCTTTTTCTAAGAGTCAACTGTTTTATCAATCCTCTCAAGTTCATTAATTTTTTTCTTTTATTATATGCTCTTCATTTTACTTCCTTTGCGTTCCTTATTTCTTGATTGCTTAGCTAATTAATTGTCCATGTTTTTTACATTCTAATATATGCACATAACATTCCATGATTATTCAGTTCACTAATTAGCACTCCTTGGTATATGTGTTCGAAGAGTTACTAATACACCTAATTGTCCTTACTTCCTGCCCATTCCTCTCCATCCAGCCTATGAAGACATTGTGAGAGATTTGGCAGCTGCCGCATCAAAATCCAGGTGCACCGCCTACTGTCTTTCCCTGGTGTATTCACTGTAATAATCCTGGCAGAGGGAAAACAGAGGGTGGTCTGAATTGTCTTTAGTCCTCACGATCACCACCTTATTTTCTCACCATTCACGAATTATCCTTTTAGCACTTACGCACTGGAGGTGCAAAATCTACCTTCTTTATCAAATATCAACAACAGCGATTCCTGATTTTATTTGTAAAAGCCTTTCTCTGAGTGCACATGCAGTGGGTTCTGGCCCCAGGCTCACTGCTGAGGTTTCTGCTCACTCCCTTTCCAGCAGCTGTGCTACCCTTTTCAGTCTGAAATGTATTTTCCTTGACAGAGAAGACCAAAAGCAAATGGGATTTTGAGAACTTCTGATAACTGTTTGTCCTTTCCTTTGCTTTTGTTAGAAAAGGAGCTGAAACAGCATGTGCATTTGACCTTGAACTCTTTTGCAAACTACATTTCAATTCAGCCTTCAGTTTTTCTACTGCTCTTCTTGTAGGCTGATGCCACCTCCTGCTTCCTATTTTAACAGATGCATTTTAAACCATGTCTCATGGAAGATCTCCCAGTGATACTGGACTTCTGTTAACCTGTCTGCTCTCTGTCCCTTTATCTCTAAAATGATAGGGTTGGACTGGAGGATCTGTAGGGGCCAGTCCAGCCCTAAAAGCTGGTCTGTCCTGCAGGAAAGCAGACTGTTTTGTTCAGCTCTGTGCCTCCATCACTGAAACCCATTGATGTACCCCACATCCCCAGAGAACCTTTTGTGCTGGCTGTGACTTCTGTTTCCAAGCCGGAAAAGAAAAATTTTTCCTGAGGGGAGAAATTATGCAAGTAAAACTTAACTTTTTTTTTTTTTTCAAAATGGAAAGAGGAGTCATTGGGGGAAGCTGGGAGGAAGCCGTGTGTTAGGACCGTATGTCCTGGGGTCACATCTTTCTTCATCCATTAATCAGGTGACCAGTGTGGGTGCCACTAACCTTCTGAGTCACTGTTTTATCTGTGACTAACCAAAAAGTAGGATAGTACTGTCTCTTTCACTTTAAGGGTAGACGTAGGGGTGACATAATTATGTGTAAAACACATGTAAACTATCAAGTACTATATTAACTTAAGGGGCTGTTACTGCTATAGAGATTCTATGCTCCATTCTTTTCCAAAAGGGAAAAATAATATAATACAAGCAAGTTCTGTACTACTTTATCTTTTGTAATCAAAATAAAAGTTATTCAGTGAGCTTTGTTTCTCTGCATAACGGAATTATAGAACTTTGCAGATTTTCTGCTCTTTTGCAATACGTAGGAAATCCTTGCTCCAATATAAAGCACCATTCAGATGTGAGGTATAATTGTTATTTCATAGGGTTCTTTGTCTATTATCTGTTGTCTCTTCACTTTTCAGCATGTCACAAACATGAACTCAAACACACAGTTCATTTTCATAATGAGAGCTTCCTGATGAACGAAGTGGATGATTGTTCAAAGGTTTTTTTCTTTAAGCAATTTCCATACAGACATAAGCCATGTTCCCCCTAGGCACCTTGAGACTTGCAAATCAAGATTACAGGAAACAGCTTTCTCACCGCTCTATGGCAAGACATCTAGACCAGGTATCCCAACCACATGAAAGTTTGTCCTTGTATCCAACAGCATGGGCAAGATGCATGCTCTTTCTCAGTCATCCACAACCTGTCTGTGAAATATTAATATACATTGCAGACACAAATCAGGCATCTGACTAAGCTCACTCTGAATTGTCCTTTCAAAGAGACATGCTAACTTGGTATAGCTTTATGATAGCTTCTCACCAGCCTCTCTCATAAGATCAGAGTTTTTGGCTGCCTGCTGGACACCTGCTTCTGGATTTCCCACAATACCTCATACACTCAAGAAGATAAGACACAGCTTTTTCCCCAAATATGATCTTTGTAACGTGTTCCCTAGAACCATGTCCCCATTTACTTGGCCTGGTAACTTTGACCGTATCTTGGGCAGCTCTTGTCTTTCCGTTCTCACTTCTCCACTTCATTAGTGTCCCTCATCACCTCCAGATTAGATTAAATTACTACAAGAGTCTTTGATTTCAGCTCCTGAACAGGTTTTCCTGCTTATATTCTCTGGCGTCTCCAATTGGTCCTTCATGCTGCCCCAGAATTACCTCCCCAGAATTCAGGTTGGTCCATGCTGCTGTGTTGGTGGCTCCCTATCATCTAAGGAGTAAATTCCTTCTTCTTTAGCATAAGGCTCCTTTTGGGTTTTTGTATTATTAGTTGGAAAGTATTCAACTGGATATTATGGAATACTCAATACTCACTCAAAAGTGACTTAAACAATGAGAAATATTTATTTTCTCACCTAACAAAAAATCCAGAGGCCTCAGGATCCAGGCCTGGCTTATTCAGCAGCAGAGCATAGGTACCCAGGTGCTTTCCCCTTTCTGCTTTGTTATTGTCAACCAGCATGCGGCCTTTTATCCTTGGGCCTCCCCATTTGGTGAATGCCAGTGGCCTTCCGCAGCTCAGACATCACATCTCCCTCACATAACTGCGGAAACACACATTCTCTCCTCCTGACAAAACCTGCCCCCGTGAGCTCCCTAGCAAATTTCCCCTTGTATCTCACACACCGGGATTATATCCCACTCACATGCCTATTAATCACAGACAAGAGGAAGGGGACTGTAGCCTAAGCAAATCAGTATCTATAATCTGACCCTAGGACTCTTCCAGCAAGAAAGAAAGTAGGCAGGGGAAAGGGTTAGGGGAAGCCAGTATTAGTATCTGCCACACTCCATCCTTAGCAGCCAGCCCCACCCACACACTTCAGGCCCCCTGGAGTTATCACCACTCTCAGAAGTCAGTGCGTATTTCATTTCTCCATGCATTCCCTTTCCCCTTACACACGCCTGCAGTGCCTTTCACTGCCTTTAGAAACACTCAACTTGTCATATCTGTTAGGTCCCAGCTTCTGATGCACCAGTCAGCATGAATCCTCCACAAGGCATGGTGTTTATAGTGCATCCCTCACTTTTGTTTCTTCCTGTCTATGTTATGATTGTACATATGGCTTCTATTCCTGTAGATTATGTGGTCCCTATTTTAGTGAGCCTTGTCCCTCCCATAGCCCTTAATCACAGTGTCTTAAATCTAGTAATAAATGATTGCTAAATCAAGGTGCATGTGAATTAACATTACAGCTGTTTGTTTTGCAGGTCTGTGCTGCCAACATAGTCTCCCAAGATGGTGAACAGAATGGTCTCATGGGGAGAGTAGATGAAGGTGTAGATGAATTTTTCACCAAGAAGGTGACCAAAATGGATTCCAAGTGAGTTCAGAGTAATTTCACTAATAATGCTGTTTAATTCATATTTAAATTAGTAACAGTTGCATTTTATATATGGAAATTACTATTCTGACAGCTTGCAAAATATGGTCTCTGGGCCGGCAATACCGGTGTCCACTGGGACCTTGTTAGAAATGCAAACTCTCAAACTCCTACCCCAGACCTACTGAGTCAGAACCTCTGGAGGTTGAGCCCAGCAATCTATATTTTAATAAGCCCTCCAGGTTATGCTGAGGCATGCTCCAGTTTGAGACCTATTGTACGATTCTAAACCAGACCACAAAATGTCCAACCCCAAGATTCTTCCAGGGCTTCATCACTTGGATAGTTCCATTACAGGGGACTGATCATGGCTATGCTGGAATTACTTACTTTGAGCTTCTCCTTGTTCATAATTTGATTTATGGGGTTGGGGGGCTAAGTCATTGCTAAATGGTGTGATTTAACAGACAGTGTCAAAATGACAGCAAAATTAGTAAAGAGCCCTCAGAGTTAGCATTTTCTGAAGAGTTTTCTCCTATCTTCTTGCTACTGAGACAGTTCCCTTAGAAGATAGTTCAGTGGTACTTTGGTTAACACTTCTTTAACTTGAAACATTTCAGTCTTTAAGCATGATTTGTACCACGTTATTTAATCCTCAACTAAATACAAATCTATCCCAAACTACGCTCTTAACATGGATTTGTCTTTATGAAGATTCTTCACCTTGAGATACCAAATTCAGGAACAAATGTAAGCCAGATAAGCCAAAGGCGGCAGGCTGGGCACAGGTAGGGAAGCAACTAATCAATTCTAGTAGATGGATGTGCCTTATCTTGCCTCGGCGGGATGGTGAAGTGGCAGTGAGTTAAATTTTTATATCCATAACAGTGTAACTTACTGAATCTTATAACTTTTAGGACCCAATTATTTGTCTTCTTTGACACTGGCCTTGAAGCTTAGCATACTATACTTAGCAAAATTTTCTTCTCCTATCTTTCAAGAACCAACCTAAATATCATTTATTCTTTGAAGCTTTTCTGGGACTGCTCCTCCCACCCACCCCTGAATTAATTGCTGTTTCTCTATTGCTAACTTACTACTTTTCTTTCCATCCTTCACACACATCTGTTAAAGCCTACGTCATCCTTTAAGAGTTTGTTGGATTTTTAATTTTTTTACGACTTAAGGAATAGATGAATGTGTTTTCAATGTAAAAGATTCAAGAAAAACCAACACAAACATATTGCAAAATGGGAAATTGCTGTTAATTATTTGCTTTCAAGTCTTTTTTCCCAAATAGAATGCTATTCTTAAGGAGCAATACCTGGGCCTTATTTTGTTATAGCTTCAATGTCTAACACAGCCCATAATATATAGTCTGTCCTCAATTAGTGATGGTTGAATGAGTGGAGAAAATCTTGACTCGTCTCCATATAATTTATAGATACCATTGTTTGCTCTTGTCTTTTTAAACTTCTGAAATTTATATTCAGTTAGTGGGGTGGTTTATAAGCATTCGATCCAAACTGTACGTATTGTTAAACCTGCCCCAGTGTGATTTCCTCTCCCGTTAATGCTACTTTCTTCTTTAATAGTCTCTGAATGAAAGTTGGGTAAATTTTGTAAGGTATAAAATATATTTTTTAATAAAGATACTGCTCAAGGAAGATTCTGTTCCTGTTTCAGTGCACAAATAGAACTAAATACATCAATTTTCATCATCAAATAATATGATGGAATCTACTAAGTTGTGATTTTAAAATTTTTTATAAATAGATTGTCAGTCCAGTCTTTAAAGGTCAAGGAATAGGTAAAATCATGAAGTAGTATGAAGGAAGTTTGAAAATCAAAGTTATACATGCTCATAAAGTGTCAGATGTTCTACGAAGGCCTAAAAAAAGTTCCTTGTTATTTTCCCACTCCCTATTCCCCAGAAGCAACTAGTTTTTATTCCTTTAGCTGTTTCTTCCATTTGTCTTAATAGCATACTTTCTTTTTTCTTTCTGTGTTTCATTTTTAGGTAGTACTATAACCATTAACTTCTTACTTAGATGATGATAATACAGACCAAATATCTCTCATCTGAAATCTTGTGACCAGAAGTGTTTCATATTTGGGATTCTTTTTTGAATATTTGTATTATACTTGCTGGTTTTATATCCCTAATCTGAAATTCAAAATGTTCCAATGAGCATTTCTTTTGAGCATCATGTTGGTGGTGAAAAAGTTTCAAATTTTGGAGCATTTCAAATTATGGATTGCAGATACTCAACCTATATACTCTGTCACCACACACACACACACACACACATTCACGTACTTAGGCACACACATGTACTTAGACACACACACTTTTCCTTGCCTCATCTTCTTTATCTAATTTTATCATGATTAGTGTCTTAGTCTGTTTCTGTTGTTATAACAAAATACTTGTGAGTGGGTAATTTATTTTGTTTAGCTAATGGTTCTGGAGGCTGGGAAGTTCAAGTTTGGGTGGCCACACTGGTTGGCTTCTGGTGAGGGCCTCCTGCTGCGTAATGGCATGGCAGAGAAGTGAAAGGAGAATTGAGTGTGTGCAAAAAGAAAGGAGGGGTAAAGGAGGCTGACTCACTTCATAACAACCCAGGCTCTCAAGAACGTATCCATTCCCATGAGAACTAATCCAGTCTCAGTAACTGATTTTAATAACCTAATCACCTCTTTAAGGTACCAACACCCAATACTATCAAAACTCATGTTGAGCCCAAGTCTTAACATAAGTTTTGATGGGGACAAACCACAGCAGTTGGTTAGATCCATATTGAGTGTTTGCTTCATTCTAACCATGTAAATATTAACAACTGTGTTAGATTGTATACTGTGATTACATTTTCTTTCTATAGAATTTTTTGTTTTCCTTGGTGTTAATAATTGTCCCCTTTTTCATTTGCTTTGTTTTCTGCATTCCTTTCACTGACTTATCTCCTAAATGTCCAGTAAAGATATAAATTTCCTTTCAATTTGTTCAAGTATTCTCAGTTTTTTTTTTTTTTTTTTTGGACACACGTCTTACCAGCATCTGACCAGCTCCAGTGTGTCCTCTAGGTCCATCCCACTGCTGTCTTCTGGGATCTCCCTTCATCATCTGCTGGGGGATTCCCTTCACCTCATCTGTGTCATTTTTCTGTTTCCATTGGCCCATGTTGGTCTTAGTTTATGCCCCTGTTTTGGTGGAGCACATTCTTGAATTGCTTCCTAAGAGAAGTTTGGAAAACAAGTTTCTGTAACTGTTGCATATCTTTCATTTTGATTAATAGTATCACTAGGTATAGAACTGTAGGTTGGTTTTCCTTGTACCTTAGCATTTTGATAGCTTTGTTCCATTATCTTCTAGCTTCCGGTGTTGCTATGAGAATCTGATGTCGACTTGAGTCCTGATCTTTTGTTTCTGACTTGCTTTTGTTTTCCCTCTCCTCTGGAAGCATTTGGGATCTTCTCTGCATTCCCAGTGTACTAAAATTTTATGATGATATGTGCCCTGAGGTGGATTTTTTTATTTTTTAATTTTTTTTAAAAACCGATTTGCCAGGCACTTATAAGCCATTTCAATCTGGAAACTCATGTCCTTTGTTGCTGAATTTTTAAAAATTATTTATTTCATAATTTCTTCCTTTTTTCTCTGTACTTTTTTTCTTAAACTTCTATTATTATTATTTGAGATAGCATCTCACTCTATCACCCAGGCTATAGTGCAGTGGCGTGATCATGGCTTACTGCAACTTTGACCTTCCAGGCTTAGGTGATCCTCCTACCTCAGACTCTTTTAACTGGGACTGCAGGCATGGACCACCCCTCCTAGCTACTTTTTGTATTTTTTGTAGGGATGGGATTTTCCCATGCTGACCAGGCTGGTCTCGAACTCCCAGGGTCAAGCAGTCTGCCCACCTCAGCCTCCCAAAGTGCTGGGATTACAGGCATGAACTACCATGCCCAGGCCGTTATTCAGATTTTTTATTTCCTCTGTTAATCCACTGATTCCTACCTGTTCTCTCCTATTTTTTTTTTATTCTTTATATTCCTTTTTTTTTTTTTTCTGGAATATTTCCTCAGTTGTGTCTTCCAACCTTGAGTTTTCTACTTCTGCTGTCACATTTTGCTATTATTCATGTTGGTGGACACAATATTTTTTTCTCTTCCATGTTGAAAAGGAATGGGGCACCAAAGAGCTTCTTGGAAATTTGTGGGTAGAGCTTGTCGACTGGTGGGCTTCAATGTATGGTGGTCTTCCTGGACCATTTTGTTGGGGGAGAGGGTATCCCTGACTCTCAGAATCTTTAGGTCTTTTCTGTTGAGCTTTGGAAACTTCGATCTCCTGCCTGGCAGGTATAAACCTGCCTGCCTGATTCTGGCATGCAGAGTGAGAAAAAGGGTCCCGGGGGTGTCACTGCTCACTGTGCAGGCTTTCTTGAGCCTGCCTGTTTCGTGATCCTCACTCAGCTCAGCTGCATTTGGTGTCCCCCAGCTCAGCTTCTTTGGTTCATTCTCTCCGGAGAGTGAACTTGGGTGTTGGGATGGGCATCATTGGCTCTGTGGTTTAGGGAGAGGATCTGATGAATTTCTGAACAGGCTTCACAAAGAAGAGAACCTTCCTGTCTTCATTTCCCCTTCACTTCCACTTGCAGAGGTACCTGCATCTCCTCATTCTGGAGCCAGCACAAATCACATGCTTCTGGGTCTCCCCGACTGTTGGCTTAGGTTTCAGCTTTCTCTGATCTATTAAGTCAATTTTCACACATATCTAGCGTATTTTGGCTTCCAAATTTTGTTGTTTCTGCCTTTTCTCCCCTATAGGGCTTACACTTTCTTTTATAAATCCTTTGCTATTATTTTAATGGAGATTCAGGGGAGCTAAGTGGATATTCAGTCTGCCAGCTTTAAATGAGACAGTTGTCTGTGATATTTCCTACTTAGCTCATTTCATTGACTGTTTCTCCCTTTCCATTTCCCAAGTTTCAGCATATTCGCCCTCTGAAAACTCTCTCCCAGAGCATACTCTCTGCCTTTTTGGAACCAAACTCAGGTTTAGCTGCTTGCCGCTCAAAAAACCAAACACGTGCGAAGCGAAGTTTGATTTATGCAAGTGACGACAGCTTGGGAGATGGCCAGACTCAAGTCCCAAAAAGCCATCTCAAATTTTCAGGCTGGCTAAAAGGGTTTTAAGGTGAAAGGCGGCATGAAAACTATGCACAGGAGTGGTGTGGGATGCCGGTATGTTAGTTGTTTTCTGATGACTATCTTGAGTAATGGACCATTTGGAGGTCTGGTTGGTTTCCTCTTGGCAGAGGTTAGGTTATGGATTAACTACGTACCAGTTTCTTCTCGGAAGGGAGAAAATTGCACCACCACCTCTGCTTTATGCCTGGATTGTTTCAAGATTACTCTTTGGAATTCTCAAGCAGAGCAGGTAGTTAGATACATATATAAAACAAGAAACAAAGGGAGGGAGGAGTTACTTTTAGAGTAAGCTAGCACACTGGCTGTACCAGTTACATTTTCATCTTTCATACATAATGTTTGCGTACCTCAATTTTCTCACATGTGAATATGATGATGATATTCCAAATTCCTTTCTGTTTCCTAAAGGTAGTAACTCAAATCCGCTTTTAAATGTGCTTCTGAATGGTTACTGTATATGTAGCAATCTCCATATTTATATTTTGACTGATTCTTGCCGGAACTTATTTACAGTAAAAACAACAGATCTGTGTCTTGGTTTGAAATGCAGGAAATGGTCAACAAGAGGCTCAGAGTCTCATGAGCTTAATGAAGGAGGAGATGAAAAGAAAAAGCGAGATTCTCGGAAAAGTAGTGGCTTTCTCAACTTAATCAAATCCCGGTCCAAATCTGAGCGGCCACCAACGATCTTGATGACAGAAGAACCCTCCTCACCAAAAGGGGCCGTCAAAAGTCCACCTGTGGACTGTCCCAGGAAGGACACAAAGGTCACCGAGAACAATGGCAATTCTGAACGGATAGAGGAGATAAAAACACCTGACTCCTTTGAAGAGAGTCAAGGGGAAGAAATAGGGAAGGTGGAACGGAGTGACAGCAAGAGCAGCCCACAGGGAGGGCGGAGGTATGGGGTCCAGGTGATGGGCAGTGGTCTGCTGGCAGAGATGAAAGCCAAGCAAGAGAAGAGAGCTGCGTGTGCACAGAAGGTAAGGGTGGGCCTCTTTTTAATTAATTCATTTTTTTGATATATAATAGATGCACATATTTTCATGGTGCATGTGATATTTTTATATATGTCCATCACCTTAAACATTTAACTTTCCTTCATGCTGGGAATATTCAAATTACTCTCTTCTAGCTATTTTGAAATGGACAATAGATTATTGTTAACTAGAGCTACCCCACTGATCTGTCCAATACTAGATCTTGTTTCTTTTATCAGCTGTGTTTTTGTACCCATTTTGTACCTCTTTTCATCTCCCCCCATGCCCCCACACTTCCTGCCCTTTGGTAGCCCCCAATCTACTCCTTGTCTTCGTGAGATAAGTGGGGGTTCATTTTTGACTTGGTTGTCCTTGTTTGTGTTTTTGCCCTCACTTGGTTTATTTGGGTGAGAAAATAAAAATAGCCTGTTGGTTAAATAGAAATCCAAAACTATAACTTACTGCTAAAGAACCTGCAGCACAGACCCTAAAGAAATGGCCACGTTTTCACTTTGGCCTGAGGGTCACACTTTTGTGGAGTGCCAGCATTCTAAGGTAGGCTTTGAAGACCCCAGTCTTTTCCCACCTGCCCAGGGGACTCCTGTGCATGTCGTGGAAGCATGTCAGAGATGTTCCCGGGTCAGGGGAAATGCTCATGTCTGGGGGAAAAGACAGTCAACTGAATCCAAATGGAAGACTGAAGGTAATATTGAAGATAGGTGAACTACCAGAGGGAAATAAAAACACTGAAACTAGATTATATATAAAAATGGAAACTATTTTCTAACTTATTCCCTTTTCAAACCTAAAAATTATTCTCTTTTCAAACCTAAGAATGCCTTGCTATATTCCAGATTTAAAAGACAAAAGAAATAACAGTCAAGGTATTCTATTAGAATTAATTGAATATTTGACCATTGATATATATCATCTGTTGCTACAAAGAAAAACTTCATAGTTTAAAATTTGCTGAGTTCCCCCAAAATCTGACTTAAAACATTATTTGTTCTTCGAACCTTCTTTTAAAGTGTAAGGAGTCTTTTTCACTTTCCTTTTTACCTCTGTTTTCTCCTGTCACTGCATGAAGGATTGTATCCGTGTGATAAAATGAACATACCCATGTGTAAGTCAGGTTATGGCTTCTGTGCATTATCTTGAGCTCCATTATTTTTACACAACTGGTTCTCCAAAGAAAGGATATCACCTGTCTATTTTATTTGAAGTACCACAATAAAATAGTTCATCCCGGTGAGCCCTTGACTTTCAGAAAGTAAACAATTAACTAATGGCAGGTGTAGAGAGCTCTTTTATATGGCTTCTAAACAACCAATGTTTAAAAATCAAACTCCACTTCCCACCTGATCTTACAACTATTCACCAAAGTTCTCCCACCAACATCAACATCATTTAGCAATTCTCTAATTATAGATCCCTCCTAACGCACTGAGAAACCCTTAGAGTTGGGAGAGACCACATAACTACATCCTGCTCGCTCAACAAAGGAGGCATGGTGTGACCCTCACTGGTCAGAATTCTGGATAATACTACAACCATGTCATTAGTGAGTCAGATGCCAAAGGAAATGTTAAAATTTTAATGCATGTTGTGAATTTCTTTATAACAATGAATGTGCGGTTTTCATTAATATGCTGTTTATGTTTTTCATGATTAACAGTTTCTTTTTGGTGTAAAGATGACATGTGCTAGAGTGTTTTATTCATGTACTTTGGATTTGATATCTAAATCAGCTTAAAGTGACAAAATCTTTATGGTTTTATATTTGTTTAGGGTTTACACAGTATTAATGATCTCTTAGCGCCATCTAGTGTGGGTTTAAAACCACCATTGTTAAAAATTATTGCTATTTAAAATTCAGTCATGGGTCTTCTGTCAAAATCATTAAATAATACAGTTTTTCAAAAATTTGCTTTAGAACATTTTTTTTCTAAAG